TTGTTGAACCTTCAATCAAATCTCATTGAAACTCTGAGTTTCTCTCACATCTTTGGGTACCACCATGCTTCCGCTGCGCAAACTAGAACGTATGATTCTTCATCTTACAAATTCTTTAACTTGGCTACCCCTCTTAAGAAAAGATAAACTAGGGAAAACCAAGCATAGCTTGCACATTCTTTTAGATGAGCTAACTAATATCTAGACGTTCCGTCATCCCAATGATACTCTTGTGTATGGGCAAGAACAAGAAATCTAGAATTCCTCGAGAGATGAAAAATAGCAGCATCGTAAAATGGTTGTAACTCTCATTCTGTTAATCCAATGAAGTTATAGATTATACCATTGGAAAGCTTATAAAATTATCCATAACTTCCTTATAGAACACTTTTCCAAATTCCCTAGTTAACTTGGTCAAAAATAGTGCACAAGAGAAACTTCTCCAGGTTCCAAACAGCACAGATGCATCGCCTTGTGATTTTTGTATCTCCATAACCAAAATAGATATGAGGCTGATTCTTGCACTCAGAGAAAGATATTGAAGTCTACGATTGTCCAAAATTTCCTCATGATTTTAGGTCATCCAAGAACAGAGATATAAGTCAAAGAGTGCAGGCTACTCTAGAAAGACAGGATAGAGAGAACAGAAGAAAACCATACCTCAACTATTTGTTTCATTAATTCCTTATACCTTAGGCCTATAAACTAAATAAAATTGCGGGAACACTCAACAAGATCATTGTAATCATTACAAAGATTCAAAACAATCATAAGCATAATGACAATTCATCAAACAATAAAGATGCACAATTCAATCATGGACTCAACTTATGATGCTATCATCCTTATTGTACTAGGGGTAACAATCCTAAGACTCTTCTTTAGATTACGAAAGAAGGGGATGAGGGACAGTTCTAAAAGCATATCAAATCTAGGAGTAAAGATGAGAACAAAGACTTTAAAATAAGCACCAAGATAGAGATGAATAGCAAGGGTAGAGATATAGTAGAGAAGAAAATATCAAGGCTTATAGACCAAGGGTTTTGTAGCAACTTCTAAACCTTAGAACGACCAGTTTTTACTAGACTTGCGTCCTACAGTCAGCATTGCTCTGATACCACTTTGTAGCACCCGGTTTTAAGAACAAAACCAGATACGCACCATATGTGAGCCCAGGAAGTCAAACCTCACATATAGCTACAAATAAGGGTAATATCAAAAGACAATGCTTAAATACATAGCGTATTAGTATAAAGAATATAACCTCAGAGTATAGACAGCGAAAAGATAACTTCGAACTTCAGGTGAAGACTCTAAATCTACAGGGACAACTGACTGGTTGACCACAAGCCTAATTCCTCCAAACTCTAGCAATATCGTACCTATCCAGGATTTTTATCCAAATATTTGAAAAATAAAGCAAGCGTAAGTACATGTCGTACTCAACAAATATAATATGGGGTTCATGAGGCTCAAAAGGCTGACACTAGTTTAACTACGATTAGCTTTTAATAAGTCATGATTTTAGCAATTCGGTGGCAACAAGTTTATCACAAGCCCACAAACACATGATCAGGTAAACATGAATAATGAATAGTATAAACAGTAATTATTAATGAGCATCTTTATCATCAGTATTATCAGTGTTCATGGGCGGCTACGTCGCGAGGAGGAAGAAAGAAATGACGCTTACACACGGGGCCCGGGTGGCAGCGACACAGGGCGCGGGGCCGATCAGCCAGTGGGAGAGAGGCGTGACGCGGTGTTGGGTCGGCCAGCTGGGCCGTGGGAAAAGAAGGCGCGGGCCATGAGAAAAATGAGAGAAAGCGGAGCAGGCCTACGCAAGAGAAAGGGATCGGGATGGACAGCCAACAGCAGAAACAGCCGAGCAGGCCAGAATGTTGGGTACGGAGAAAAAACAAAGAATTCCTTTTCCATTTTCCTTTCTATTTTGTTTTCAAAGCCAATTCAAATATGACCAAAGTCAAATTCAAATGGGGTTTCAAATATACTTTTTCAGCTCAAGTAAAAATGACGAATTTTAGTAAGTCTTCCCAAAAATTATTTTTACAACTTTTTAAATTCTTTTATTTTCAAATTTTCTTTTCTTTTACTTCAAAGCCATTTTTAACTAAAAAAACAATTTTAACTATTTTAAATTTTCAATCAAAACCACTCAACCAAATACATCAAATGCAAGGGCATGTATTCATAAACATGTTGCTAAACCTTATGATGAATTTTAATTTAATGAAAATTTTATTTTCCTATATTTTATGAGCACAAAATTCAGAAATAAACTATTTTAAACCTATTTTCAAAGGAGGTAAATTTTAGGGTGTTACAAAGCATCCATGCAATCATACACGAAATAAATAATAGAACTAAATCAGAACATTACACCAAACATAATATACAGCAAGTAAAAAGGTTTTAAAGATGTTCTAGATGTCGCTACGAACACACAGACATGAAAAGCATGTTAATCAAAACTACGGTGGTTAAGAAACGACTACAGGGTTTTATATTATAAAAGAAAAGAGAAGACTATAGCTTGATTTATGTTAATTAGGAATAACTATGTGAGTAGCATTAATTTAGATTAAACAAAACATATTTATACTTAAAAACTGAGTTGAAGCTAATCATATTTTATTTATAAATATTTTGATATCATTTATGCCAATTCAACTTTAACTTGCAAATACAAACTGACATATGAGAACATCTAATCAAATTTAATATGTGTGTTTACACTAAACATATTATAATTTAGAAATATATTTATGTTAGCAACTAGTCTTGTTAAAACTTATTTGCAAAAGAGCATTGTACATAATTATGTTGCTTTTATTTATAAAAACTAGTTGCATGCATATTAATCAAATTAATATTTCAGCATATATATAAAAGTCACTTGACATGAAAAACGATGACACTAGCGTATAGATCACATCGATACGAATCTAACGCAATTGGAACGACTCGAAACAGACTTCAAACAAATATACGACGACGATATTACGAACTGGTGGTAATTTCATAATTACCTCATCTTCATTCTTTGGCCTCCCGTACAGCCACCACATGGCCATGGCAACAACAGTTGCGCAAGGGTGGGCTTGACTTGTTGCACGAAGGAGAGGATGGCCGAGCTGGGCAGCGCGGCGGTGACGGCGACGGCGAGAAGAGGAGAAAAAACTAATTTACTACACGAGTGATTTTTCAAACTAGGGGGCTTCCTTACGGTAGTTTTGGTGTGCTTTCCCTAAGGGGTTGGTACATATTTACAGGAAGAAAAACTCCCCACATCTACATCAACTAGCAATATGATACTAATTGATGTTGCACCCTCCACATTTCCTAGTGGGCATAAATAATCATTAAAGTCCATTAGTAAATAAATGCACGGGCCTTTAGGATTTATTAGGATTATTGCATATGGGCTTTGAGCGTTGGGAAAAATGAGAGATTTATTATTTTTTAAATTAATTAATTTCGATGATAAAAATAATTCCAGAAAAATCTAGAATTATTATTTAAGCCACGAAAAATACTCCGAAAGTTCTAAAAATTCAGGGGGAATTTCCAGAGACATTATGGAACATAAGGAACCTAAATAAAGTATTTGAAGCCCATGATAAGATAATTTGGAGAATCTAAAAATTAAATTATGCTCACAGACAAGTAGGAACAAGTTCCAAAAAAAGCTAGAAAAATTTCTGAGAAGTTTGTAAAGATTGATTGACGACGAGAAACTGAAAGGAGTGATTTGCGTTGCAAAGAAAAGATTTTAAGAAGCTCCCACCGAAAACTTGAACTGAGAAACAAAGAATTTAATTGTAGAAAAAGATAAAGGTGTGTCGAAGAAGGAAAATCGACCTTCTAACGCATTTTAAAGACTTTGCTCATTCTCAACGCACAAAGAAGCAACAAGCAAACATCACATCTTCCAAAAGCCCGTCAAAATTAGAAAACTTTGAAAATTCACATTCTTCCTATAACTAAATTTACGCTAGCTCAAACTAAACTTGGTAAATTTTATCTAAATATTAAAATAATTTATTTTATTTAGTGTTTTCTATGCACAACCCAAAATCAAATATTTTAGAGTGTGACACGGCCGCACGCCCTGCGCTCGCCATTGCGCTACGCGCAGATTCGGGCAGCACAAGAAGGGGAGCGCACGCACGCACACAGAGGGTCCGAGTAGGGGAGAAGAACCCGCGACCCTGCTGGTAGAGCTCAGCGTCGGCGGGTCGACGCCCAGGAGCTTCGCATTGGGTAGGGCATGATCCGGCCAGCATGCATCCGTGCCAGGATGGGGAGAGGCGTCAGCCGCTGCAAGGCCACGCCGATCTAGGGCGTAGACAGGAGATCCGGACACAAGTTCCTAGATCGGCACCGCCGGCTCCCCAGAAGCTCCATGGACAACGGGGAGTGGATTAAGGGGACAGAGGGCGGGAGAGGGGGGGAGAGGGGGGGTGACTGGACATAGTATCCTGTTTTTTGGGTCCTGTGGCGGGCCGCTGCCGCCGCATGCCTGAGGGCGGCGACGGCGGCCAGAGAGGTGGCAAGGAGTAGGGGTCCAACGGCGCCAGCGAACACCCCCGAGTCGCCCGTACGGGGGAGCTCGAAGTGGGGGGCGACTCCTTTAGTCAATATCCAAGGTCGAATATAGACGTACTTTTCCCTTACCCTGTCATAACTCATAAGCGCGTTAAGCAACATCCACCAATATTTCAGATTTCAGAATTAATGGCTACGAGTAACATGGCCTATATGTGCTGACTGCTGACACTTCTCACAACTGCGACTTTTTCTATCGGATCGGCATCAAGATTTTCTACGTAAAAGGTTTGTTTTCTCCAAACATGTGTCTTACTTTCTTTACTCCACCATTAGCTTAAAACCTGTGATACACTCCAACTTCGTTCTCATCACCTTCTATTCGACCTTGTCTATCTCTCTAGCTAGCTAGCTAGCTCCAGCATCCAGCCATGGCAACCGGGCAAAGCTCGACCCCATCGTTCTTCAATTTCCTAAAGGAAGGCCTGCTCCTCCCTAGCCACAACCGGACGCTCTTCGCAGCTGTCTTTACAATTACCGCCGCCTCCACCTGTCTACTCCTCCTCGGCAACGACCTCGCCGTCCAGCCCCTCAGAGACGAGATTGACCTCGACACAAAGGCGCTCAACAGCACCGATCCCAGTAGCCCAGACTTCCTTCAACTCACCCGAAAGACCCAAGATGACACCCGGGCTCTCTTGCTCACCAGAGCAGCCTATTTTCTGTTTGGCGCCATCACCAGATCAGCAATCCGGATCGTCGTCCTCTTCGCCGCCGTCGCGACATACTCCGGTGAGCTGCACACCTTCGGGTCGCTCCTTGGCAAAGTCAAGACGCAGCTGAAAGGCCCCGTGCTTACGCTCGCCGTCGTCTACGCACTGGAGGTCTCCTACGTCGCGCTTCTTGGTGCCATGATTGGGCTACTCATGTGCCTCATGACCATGAAATACTTTGTGTTGTTCTTTGTGGGGTCGCTGCTCGTCCTGGTTCCCTTCATCTTCCTCGTGTACTTCTCCTTCCTCTGCTCCATGAGCGTCGTCGTGGCAGTGGCCGAGCCCGGTTGCCATGGCGCCGGCGCTCTTGGGCGGGCGTGGCGGCTGATGAAGGGGAAACGCAGACGGGCCATGCTTTTCATTTCTGTGACTGCCGTGCTCTCCACTGCCTTGAACCCTGTCTACACTCTGGCCAAGAGATGCGCACTTACTAGCATGGCAGCAGGGTTGCTCCTGGGGTTTCTGTACAGCATCTTGAAGGCCGCCGTGCAGGTGTTTGCAGCCTGCGCCATGGCCGCATTATACTACGAGTGCAAGGGGAGCACCCAGGCATCGGCGGTGGGGTACGTCAAGGTTTCTACCAAGGAGCAAATTGATGCTTGATTATTAATTAGCTACTCTATCAACCTGATGTGCACTATGCATATAACCTGTCAATATCGATGCTACTTGGCTAAGTCGTTGTCAAGGGGTTGCTTCCACCATATGTAATAGTCCTCGTTTACCCTTTTCGTTTCATTTGAGAATTTACTTCGTGGATGTGATGTAAGAAAAAGAATAAGTGCAGTTTCATGAATTTTCTCTCTCCCATCTCTCTTTGCTCCACATCATCAAAAATCCTATGTGGTACCGCACGAGAGGGAGTATAAGATCGCTGGCGCGTAACAATATACTTGCCTGAAGCAATAAATAGTGCTATTTTAGTACCAACTAGTAGCCACTATGCAACGGTCAATTTTACCCGGCAATAACCTTACAACCTGGTAGCAATGAATACAAAATAATTTATTCTCACATCTACACTTAGAGCATGTTTGGTGCGGCTCTGACTCAAGCTGGTTTTTTAGGCTCCAGGAGAGAGATCTGGCTCCACTGACAAAGTCCGTACGAGTTCTGCCAAAGAGGCTCTTACACTCTGTTCAGCAGTCAAGCCGAACGGATGGGGCTCCATAAAGAAGATGACGGTTGAGATAAATGTGTTTTTTTACTAAGATGGGGCGTATCTTAATAATGCCATCACATTGTGTGAACTCAGACAACAAATACCAACTGCTACCGCCCCCACCCTTACTTAGTGATTTGGTAAGATACATTGTGGTTGCCCTAACTATAAATACCATCCACCCGCACCTTGTTCAAATCTCACCTCCCGATTGTTCCCCAATACTAGTAGGACTCACTACTATAGAAAGTTTAATCACCGCCGAGACTTTGACTGCCGGTTATGTGAGAACCAATGGTGATACATATCACGTCGGTTCATAGTCTAAGGGGTCCCAGAAGGGTGCCTTACTAGCAATGATAAATGTTTTCACCGCTGGCCTGGCGTATGATCCGGTGGTGAATATAGTGTCAGTCTTCACCACTGCATCGTACGCTGAACCAACGGTGAAACATTTAGCACTGCTGACTAGTCGCCCAATGCGCGACGCACATTCAAGCCAGCAGAGATAAGAAGCTTCGTCTTCGGTTTGAAGATGGAAGGATGCACCGCCCGTTAGAGCCGGCAGCAGAACAAGCTAGCACCCTCGGTTCTCTATATGATCCAGCGGTGGAAATCGCAACGATTCAAAACACTGCATCGTCCGCCGTGCTGGTGGTGATTAGAAGTTTCACCGCCGATTTATTCGGACACTGAACTCCACATGCTATGATCCGGCGGTAAAAACATCTATCACCGCCGGTTGTCGGTTTAATCCATTGGTGGTAAATGGCTGGAAAAAAACAATTCCCTCCTCTTCTTCTTCACTCACTCAACTTCTTTATTCGTGGCTCCTCCCACCATTTTTGGCAACCGTTTGCTAGTGAAGGCTCCCAATTTTCAAAGGATGTTCTAAGGTTGGTAACTAACAACCCTTTTCGTCTCTAGCTTAGTTTCCGTGTTTAAATTAATACCGAAATCAACCTTCTTCCTTTTAGAGTGCTTCTTGATTTTGGAGGCGGCTTCTAATTCTTGATTATATTGTTACTGTTGGCATTAACATCATTGCAAATATCATTCCACCAGAAAAGAGCAAATCTAGTAAACTCACTAGTAGCAAGCCTAACTCTATGTTCTTTAGGTACTAGATGAGAATTAAATTTTTGCTCAATAGCAAGCTCCCAATCTAAATATGTCTTAGTATCAGCAAGCTCCCAATCTAAATATGCCTCAGGACCAGCAGAGCCAACAAAAGGAAGCATTTTAAACTTGGTTTTAGCAAAAGGATGACTATTACCTCGGTCATTACCTCCCATACTACAACGGTTTTGATGTAGTCTCCCATGTAACCGTGCGTCGCGCTCAGCACATCACGCCTCAGCGTCTGCCTCGGTGTTGCCAGCATCCTCATCTTTCAGATCATCAACATCACCAATGTCATCACGATGCGGCTCAAGTCGTCGTTGTTCAACATCTTCAATCTGCTTGGCCAAAGTGTTGATACTTTACATGATATGATTAAGCTTCTCATCAATGAAGGTGCTCTCATCTCGTATAAGCTTTTGGAGCTGGTTCTTAGACACACAATCGTTGAAATTTGTGGGATGGGTCTCATCTCCGGTTTGCCTGACATTGTTAGTAGAAAGAAGAAAACAACACAAAAAGTTTTATCCCTACCAACTACTTGGAGGTGGACAAGGAAATAAGGCACTCAACTCTCAAGCGTCTTACCACGGTCTTACAAGTGTTTGTAAGAAATACAGCAGGTGGTGCAATTGGTGGTTGGTTGTGATACCATTGTAGTTTCCGTGTAACAGTTGCAAAGGTGAACCTAGTTGTACTTGGTTAAAAGACAGTGGAGCTTGACAGCCACAATATAGTAGCAATGGATTAGCAATAATCGCAACAGATTAGCAAAGCTGAATAAATATCTAAAGTACTAGTCACAGCTGCTGGTCTAATATGTATCCCTAGACGTAGAACAATAAGCTAAACAAAGGACCAAGAAAGGATTCAGAGATATTGCCAAGAGAGTGCATGTTCTACTCCTTTCTTTGTTTCTTCATTGTTTTCCCTTCTTTTTTATATGTTTTCTTTTCCTTTTTTCTTTATTTTTTTCTAGGGAGCAATAAACAGAGGAAACAAGGAAAAATTAAAGAGAGAAAACAAGAAAAACTGAAAACTGATTTCAACTTCTAGGACGGATTTGAGGTCCAAAACAATGGATTTTCAGGGTCGAAGACAAATTTAAAGTCATGTTGGTTTTTTCACATCGGCCTCCAAATTATCTTGCCATCGACTGCTAGATTGTCTGATTCTGACTTTAGTAAAAGTTATGAAAAAGCTATGGTCTAGTTAAATTAAAAAAGTTTGGCTAACACGAATCCCACGACGTCATTTTTTTTTTCGGGAGGGAGTATGTCTATAGTCGTTGGCGGGCACGATCCTCCATGCGACAAATCCACTCACCTATCAGAGTTCAGAGTTGCCTGCTCCGACGACCTGCTTTCCAAGTCGTCGGAGAGACCGATGACCGATGACGCTATGACAGCGACATCCACCATAAGTCATCCAATCCGGCCAGTGAAAACGAAAACAACACGTCTACACCCACCGCAACCCACTTGTATAATCCATCTTCCAGTTGTCCAAATCTTGTCTCATGACTGATCCTCAGCACTACGCCATGGCCACCAAAGCAAGCTCCTCACTGTCGCCATGCATCAGACTCATGGAGGAATCCCTTCTCCTCCCGATGCAAGACGCCGGTCTCTTTGCAAAGACCTTCCTGCTCATCTTCGCCCACACCTTCTTCTTCATCGCCGTCGCCGTCCACTTTGCCCACCCACTCGCCACCAGCATCCTCGCCGACATCAGAGCTCACAAGATCACCACTGACACCGCGAGCTCCAATCACTCCAAGGAGCTGTCATTACTAGCCATCTACCTCTCCTACCTCGCGAGTAAACTCGCCACCCAGCTTGTCCAAGGAGCTCTCGTCATGTTGTGGCCAAGACTTTCTCTATACTAGCTGGAGGCCCCGTGCTTCGCACGGTTTTTTTTTTTAATTTTCAGGTGTGAACGCAAAAAAAAAACGAAAAGGTTGGTACTGTTCCTTAGCGGGTCAGGTACTGTTCATAGTGATCCGTTACTGTTTATCTATAGTGATATGCGCCTGGGACGCGGCCGATGAGCAGTACCGTGATACTCTTATTTATATATATATATATATATATATATATATATATATATATATATATATATATAGATAGATAGATACGAGAGAGTGAGCGTTTTACGATGTTTCTCACCCCAATGATAACCGTACGTATGGGGACGTAAAATGTTTATTTCTCGCACCCCAAGGATAACTGTCCCTAGGGACGTAAATAGATCGGATATGTGAATAAAATTGCCATATATTTTCCTTTGGATTGAGAATCAGACATGGATACCAAAATAGATACAAATACGGTCGCATGTAGATTATCATGGTTACGAATAAGTGTGTATTGCGGCTGCTGGAGCTATTGGACTATCTATTCTTTATTCCATCCATCGTAACAGGAAATCAACTTGTATATCAACCAATCCAATTTTTTGAGCAATTAGACATAGAATCCTCTAAAATTGAAAGGATCTCAGACCACTCAAGAAAGCACGAAAGCCAGTTAGAAAATAGATTCCTGAATATGGGATTAGTTGAGTGTCAATAGTATAAGAAACAATGAGAAGGGTTACAACAGGAAGCGGCCATGTGATCGGCAGCAAAACAATTGAAGCAAAGCCCCACAAGCTTTAGCGGAATAGGGCGCCCTGGGCGAGAAACCCGGCGACCAGACAGTGGCTATGTCTAGTGTTGGGAGGACTTCAAGATTGTCGCGATAAAATGTGTTGCCAACCATCGGCGTCATGCGATATGACACGATGATTGCTAGCAATGCGGGGCCCTAGGCACTGAGTCCACCAACGAGGGCTTGGTGGAGGAGGCAGTGAGGTTTGCCCCTATAGGCCAGGGAGGTTGGATTGGGCGCTGATGTAGCCCATCTCCTCTTGCCTATAGTTTTATCAATGAGTGTTGGAACTATGGATCCTCATGTGTATTTAGTTCCTCTTACTATGTGTTTGGTTTGGAGACGATATGTGATCGAATGAATCTATTCTTGATTCTTAAGATGGGCCCAACCCAGCTCGTATCTAGTTGGAAGGGATGGGACCATCCCATTTTTTTGTTTGGTTGGAGGAATTGGATTACATGAGATGGATAGTGCGAACACATGGTTGATATGTGCACATATGTGTCAAGTTGTGATGAGTGATTGTCAGAAGTTGATCGGCTTTGGTTGAGTTTGGAGACTAACCATGGTGTGAGTGTGTGTGCAACATGTCTCTTGGTTGTGTTGGTGTGCAGGTGTTGAGCACAGAGGCGGTCGACGGGCATGGAGAAGGTCAAGTAGAGATGTGGCGTGTTGATGGATTAGGAGCGGTGAAGGACGAACGTAAGGCTTGAACCGAGGGACCAAAATGGCCGGAAGACTGACCATGGGTTGCTGACACTTGGACATCATCAACAAGCAAGAGTACATGAGGAGGAGTAGACCGTGTTGACAAAGTCAAGCAGAGGCACAAGAGGACTTGGTGATCGGACGGTCGAGGATGACAGTGACACGTGTCGAGATCGTGGAGGAGGCATAGCGGATACACTTCTCCAAGGGGTTTGGTGGTTTGTGCCTCAAAACCACCGCGGATAGTTTTCGCGTTTGAGCCTCAAAACCTGGTTGGAGTTTTGGTAGGAACGGGAGGAGGCACGTGGAGTCATTGCGAACCTTGCGTCGAGGCAAAGCAAAGTCGTGAATAGCCCATGGACATAGGTTGCACAGATCTTGAGTTGGACATTTTGCCCTTAGGTTATGTGGTTCAACCAAAATATCTAAGGGAGTTGTTGGGATTGTGTAATAGCTCTATAAATAAGGAGGGGCTCCTCCTAACCAGCCTATCTCTCTATTCTTTCATTTCTAGAGTCGTTAGGTCTTTGTTTTCTGTCTAAGCCCGAGTCTGTACTAGTAGAGATCAAAGTGTACAGAATCAGACCTCTACTGTTAAGTTGTCCTCTGTAAGAGCCAGATCTGGTGGGTGCAAGAAATAAAGCAATTGTTCATCTAAGATCTAAGTTCCTACTTTTTGTTTTTTATTTGAATCGGTTTTTCCTCTCTCGAGCCCCCTTCTCTTGCGTTTTGGGTGAGTTCATTTTTCGAGGGATTGGAGACCGATTGGGATGGTTGGATATGTGCTATGACATAAGAGGCACATATCTGCAAGTCGATTTGACCAGATTCCTCATGAGCACAATATTGGGGGATGTTGAGGAAAGTTTGGCAAACCCCAATCCGGTTTGGAGTTTTCTCGATCTACGGAGTTCCTTAATCTTCTGGAGTTGATCTTTGGGGGATAGTTTATAAATATCTCAGGGAACATCTTCAAAATTTGAGCCCAATTGGACTTCGTTTGAATGGATTTCACCTTTTAAAAGTTTAGTTTGGGGCTGCTAAAATTGCCAAAGTAGGCCAGGCCGACCTAGCATCTAGGCTAGGCCAACCTAGCATCCCGGCAAGACCTGGTTTGCACCCTAGGGAGGCCGGGTTTCTCTAGGAAGGAGGCCTCTCCAAGGTGATTTTGAGTTCCTGGTGTCCATTCTTCGATCTGCTTGTTCCATGGGTTTTCTGAGGTGCCTAGGAACTTTTTCTAATCATCAAGTCACTAATTGGATTGAGTGATCTTGTTGTGAGCTCTTTCTTTCGGTTGATGGATGTTGAGAGCCTCACTTTTGGATCTCGGTGAGTTTCGGTGTTGCAATTGGTTTTTCCATTTTTGTTAGTGTCCCGTTGTGTTCTCCGGTCATCACCGAGAACATTCAGCCACCAGTTGGCTCGAGGGCACCACATTTCTAAGATTTGGTGATTTAGATGGTTGTTTGGGACAGTCGCCATTTTGGAAGAAAATTTTGATTGGCTCCCATTCACACCCCTTGATTGCCTTTCTCGGTCCTTCACATAGCCGTTTTCTACCCATTAGTCACTATTTGTGTGAGACTGGACTACATGAAATGAATAACCATTTTCTAGGAATGGACTACATGAGATAGATAACCGTTTTCTACCCATTAGTCAATGTAGTCAATGGGCCCACATACACTAACAGTGACTAACAGGCAGAAAACGGCTAACCATCTCATATAGTAGTCTCTCCAACCAAAAAAGAAACTAGGACGGTCCCATTCTTTCTAGTAGCCAAATAAAAGCCGAGACAGTCCCATCCTAAAAACCAGGGATAAATTCATACCATCCCATATCATCTCCAAACAAAACACATACTTAGTGTCTCGGTAAGAAGTCATCTATTCCTTTCACCTGCATTACAAAAATAAAAGAAAAGAAAGAAACGGAAACCTTGAATTCATCAGTCACTGAGCTCTGCTTCCTTCTTCCATGGAATCCAGTGCATGGCTGGGAGTTCTAATCTCATTTGATCCAGAAAGATCAAGTGACAGTGACTGATGGTGTAAATTCGCGTTTGTTGTTGACTGTATATTCCTTTCACCCTCGGTTTGATGAATGTGCTCAAAGTACGCATGAGGCCAAACTCCTGTTGTTCAAAAGTGATCGAAAGTTTCACTGTTATAGACTATGTTTGTTTAACACGATATGTATTCGTAATTCAGAACAAGCTAAGCGCCTAAGCCCAATAGTTTTTAATTCAGACTTGCTTAGTCGTGTGTTTTTAGTAGTTGCAGAGGACACGTTATAAATTTAAGGAAGATTTACTATTCTGACATATGCAACTAAGCATCATACCATGTTTACTGTAGGGTGGTGGAAAGAACTGAAGGTAGCAAAACGAAGCAACCACCAATCCTGCAGAGTTGTACCAAGCATATATAGTCAGCTGATGTGTGATCTTCAGGAATCATAAAAGTTATAGTAGGATGGAGAGCAGCTGAACTGAGTAACTGAGATGGATACTTACCAAGAACTCCACCTGCAAACACATCATGCCAGTGGTGCCAGTAGTCACTGACTCGCGACACTGCAACCATCGTTGCAAGAAGCAGAGGCAGAAGAACAATGCACAGCTTGGCGACATGGCCTCTTCGATCGAAAGCCTTGATTTTGCCGGCCAGGTACCATGACAGAAATCCGAGCCCGGCAAAACAACCTTGAGGAGGACAAGAAAGACAGCCAGCTAATCTTTATGGCAGAGGATATTGCAAACTGGAATAATGGAATGGATAATCCAAGTCTGGCAAACTGCATGCATTCAGATTTCAGAGAATGGCTAGCTTTCAGCATTTACCTGAAGAATGCCCACTTGGGAAGCTCTTGTGGCCCTCTTCGATTACGCTCCGCTGTCCGTGGCAGATGACACCTCCGGTGATGTTGTTGTACTTCTAAAATAGAATTAATGTTCAGCTAAATAGTTTGTTACCTCAGAGTTACGACTTCCATCAACATTCTAATTCTCAAACTAATGAACAGTTTCGAAGTGTCAACATTCTAATCCTCAGATCAAGTGACTGAAGTGACAATCGCAGCGACTTACCGGGACTCCATCGGGAAAGCAGCGCCAAAAGAAGTCCGGGCGGGGCCGGCCAACAGCATCCTTGATCGAAACGGTCAGGATGGCCGTTATCAGAACGGAAAACAGAAGGCCTGCTAATAAAAGCTGATGATGACCACACATCCCATGAAAAATCAAATCAGCTAGCGTAAGAATAAGAAAACCTACCAAGAATAGCATGATGCAGGTCATAAACGTTTCTCCTCTTGATGTATATTCCAACGATGAAAATCATCGGCACAACGATGGCAATAATCTGTTTAAAATTAAGTCGAAAACAATCAAAGTTTGTTCCTGGATGGGAGAAACTGCAGTTGCAATTTCGTAGATATATATAAGCATAGAACCCAGAACATGCATATGATTTTTTTCAGAAGATGTGGTGTAGCATAGATGCACCGTACCGGCACGGCCCAGCTAGGCACAGTGTTGTCCTTCATGGGGTACCGGAGGCTTGCCATCATGTCTTCTGCGACGAACCGTGGAACGGCTGGAGCAGGCCGAGCACGGCGTACATGGCGACAAGTAGGAGCAGCACGGCCCAGTCGAACAGGTGCAGCCTAGCGACTTGCTTTCCGTGTGTCCTCAAGTATGGGCGCATCGCGGTCGCAGCTCCAGAGGCAGGGGTCGCCGGCGGTGGCGGCATATCTTCACCTTCACCTGCACTGCAGCCTCGGTGAGGGTGAGGCGACGAGCTCCTCTCAGCCTCCTCCCCTGAACAGCTGAACGGAAGAGGAGGAGCTTGTTGAGGGCGTTTTCTTTATCTTAGATTCTTGGGAAGGGAGATGTTGACAAGCTAAGCTAGGGGAGCCTAGAAAAGTTGTTGGCTTTTTTGCTTACTCGCTGGTTGCTGCTGCTGACACATCTATCACTCGAGGTGCTTTCTGTGTTTGTTCCGGGAAGATGGAAGGAAGGAAGCAATGCAGCAGTACCCTGTGACCTTGACCTCGTTCTGGTAGTACCTAACAACAGTTATGAGCTTTAACACTGCACTGATCTTTCATTTCACAAAAAAGGCAAAATATACACATTTTACTACCGTGGAAATTTTAGTTTCTCTGTTTGTCCCGAAAACTTGATTCATTTTGCTACCCTAAACATTTCAAACACTATCCCCTATGGACAGTCCACATATTTAAAAAATCCTTTATTCGATTGGAAATGGATATCATAATATCTGTCCTTTTCGAATATGGATAAGGGTATGGATGTGGAAAGTGAAAGTCCCAATGGATATGGATAATATATGTATCCAAAAAGATAAAAAAAAGATAGGATATCTAATAGCCACACTTTTACCACATGTGCTGTTATTAATACTAGCAAACATGTTCATTGCATCCTATTTAGAGCCACCATGTCCTCTACCTATCATTATTGTATTTTTAATAAGACTAACAATGAAGCATATTTTGGCAGCATGGACCTTTGCAACCTATCTTTTAGCCAATCCGTATAATCACAACCAGAATTTTAGACTTCTTCTAATGAGACGGGCTTCTCCTAGTGTTTTAGCATTCAAAATTTAGTATAATTTTTTTCTACTAAATGCCTCGTAATGAGATTTTCATGTGCTATGACTAGTGGTAGTGTTTTACTACTACTTAAAAACACTAGGAGAAGTCCACCATTTTGATAGTGAATAGTTAGCTCTCCACTATTAATACATAGATCACTTTCTTGTCCCACAAAGTTTCTTGGTTCTCGTGTATAAGTTGGTTTTAAGCTTACATGCTGCTTCCCTTCTCTCTCCTCTTCTCTTTTCTCCTTCTCAGCATTTAGCATATTTACATTCTGCTATTATACTGCTCTAGGTTTAAATCCCAAGGCCCGCAATAAATGTAGGTGCAATAAAGAATGATGGGTTATTTGGTTCATGGTCTGAGAAGCTGCCTGGTCCAGGCAACTCATCCTAGGCGTTCATTTTTCTATGCCTGTGGACAGGATTGTTGCTTGGCTGCTGAGCAGCCTGCCAGGCTGCAACCAAACAGTCGAATTCAGCAAGGCAAATTGAATAAGATTGACTTAGTCTAGTGATGGCCCTGTTCGCTTCTCTTATAATTCGTACTTTTCAACTTGTTTTTTCAGCCGAAACAGTGTTTTTCTCTTACAGTAAATCAGCCGGAACAATGTTTCGACTTATTTTTCCAGCGAAGCGAAAGTTTATTTCACATTTTGCATGTTACGGCAATTTTTTTATTATTGTAGTAAGGTTGTACGCCGGTAAAGATTCTCTCGAGCGTCCATACCTTCTGAGTTACACAATACACTTGTGACTATATTACTGATGCTATTTTTTTAACTATAATTTATGAATCTTATATTATATATTAGACACTAAATGATCTCAAATAAAAAGGTTGTTAACTGGAAATTAAAGTTATAGATCTCATCAAGTACTACAACTTTGGTACTGACTTCAGGTCCATTCAACATTGTTAATTAACTCAAATCCTATCCGAGAACTTATATTAAATATTTAAACATATAAATCATCTCAAATTAAAATGTTGACAACTAGAAAGCTTTAGATCTCTTTGAACTCTATAATTTTAGTATAAAGATTGTCTTACTTCATATGAAAAAATTACTTTTTTTACAAAGTAGCCTACCACTGTCAGTTGTAGCCACAAACTGTTAATGAAAACCTATCTATCACTGTTCACTGCCCTGGGTTTGAAAGAAACCAGTAGTTATATTATTAGATCTATAGCAGTGAACTAGTTTCATCAGCCATGCTAGCCGATAGACCGCCCCATATATGTAGTAGTGAAGTAGTCTTAGCCATGCATGCTTTTTTCAGGCTAGTAACATCCTGATCAAGTCTAAAGCGTTTACGCCAAATTACAAGGTCATCGCAAACCTTAGAAACTATATGGAACGTCTTGAGGAGTTGAGGGGGATTCATTCTGGAAATTTTCACCATTCCTAGAGTCCCACAACCGCCACAAAATCGTCAGCAGGATGAAAGGCCAAAGCTTTGCGTCCAAGTGAGGAGGGATACCAGCGTTCCATATGTCTACCTCGGAAAGAGCTGCAACGTTGCGAAGATTCAATTTGTTTCAGCCATGCATGCTAGACGATAGACCCGGCCCATATAGCTAACAAAAATTAGAATTTTGCGCCCCAATGATCCATCTATTATTGTTTGCCCTCTTATGGAAAAAAATATAGCTGCGCTCTATGTATGTATAAATTTCTAAATTTTTTAGTCATGTTTGTCCTTTTTATGGTATCACTCCGATTGCCTATAAATAGCAGACAACACGGAATGACAGGAAAAAGTAGGGACAAAATGCAACGTGAATCTTAGGGTCCGTTTGGATGTAGATATTGCAGACTCTAGAATTGAATTGGTATCAATACCAAATCAGACTTATATTGGAAATGGATACCAATATCAAAATGGTTGTTTGAATGTAGATAGAATTGTCGGTTGAAGTCCAATGTAGTGTCGAATACAAATTATTGTTTGGATGTGCCTACCGTGGAATTGGGAATTGACCCATCTTCTTCCCCACCGCACCTACGGCATAGCCCCTACCTTGCCGGAGCGGAAGAAGATGAGGAGTCTATAGTGCGCCCGTCTTCTCCCCCACCTCGCCGCGAAATAGATCTACAGTGCCCCCAGCCTTCTTTCCTACCTCGCCGCAAAATAGAGCGCCCACACACGCACGGTGCCGCACCATGAATGGAGGGCGGCCGCAGGTCAGTTTCCGTCCCGATGAAAGTGACGGATGGGAAGGAGCAGATCTGATAGGGCTTTGTTTAGATTGCAATTTTTTGCAACCTGGACACTGTAGCACGTTTCGTTTGTATTTGACAAACTTTGTCCGATCATGGACTAACTAGGCTCAAAAGATCCATCTCGTGATTTACAACCAAACTGTGTAATTAGTTATTTTTTTATCTACATTTAATACTCCATGCATGCGTCCAAAAATTGATGTGATGGAGAGAGAGTAAAAAACTTAGAATTTGGAGGTGATCCAAGGCCTAGGTATGTATTTATATTAAAAATATACTAACAGGTCCACTTCTTTAACCCGCTAAGGATATCCCCGGCACCACGTTAGAAAGCTCGGTCGTGTAATTATAAGTGGGAGTAGTTACTCCTAGTGAAGTAGGAAAAAATTTCCGTACGAAAAAATTTCCATATATATATAATCTCTCTCCCGAATCCCGCCGCCCCCTGCCCGCTCACTCGTGCCGCCGCGGCGCCTCCTGCGCATCCCTCTCTGAGGAGCCCGTGAGAAAAGGGCGTGCACGTGCAGCTGGGACTTGGGGCCGACGGGCGAGTGTGGCGCAGAGTCGGGGCCATCGCTTCTTCGCCCTCGTACGTGGGCAACCCTAGGGAAGCCTCCCTCTCGTTCACCTCTATACGGGCGGCGGCGGCGGCGGACGACGACGACGACACCAATCCTCAGGTACGCGCCAGCCTTTCCTTGATCTTGCTCGAACTGGAACTCGCGTCATTGGGGTTGGTGATTGGTTGGCCTGGTTCATTTATATCTGGATGCTGCGTTTTTGGGTGGTTCCTTGCAAGACGGGTTTTTATTCGCCTGATTTACTGAGGAGGTCAATGCCAAACTAGCGATTATTGCTATATCTCGGTTAGATTAGATCAAGCATGGTTAAGATTGGATCCGATAAAAAGCTGCATCTGTCAGATAAGATCAGTATACCAACGATGTCTATGTCTGAATATTTGTGTTCATCACTTGGCCTTGTTTTGTTTGCACTTGTGATTTTCACCTGTCTGTTAAAGGCTCGGCCAAATTCGATTGAAAAAGATTTATACTACTGGCCGGGTTTATAGATCCACATCACATTGTATTCTATTTTAGCTAAAAGGTTTTTTCTTTGGAAAAAAATTATGTGCTAATTTTCATCTAGATATGAACTTACTTGCTCTGTGCTACTCGGATGGTTGTTTTCCTATACTAGAACTGTAGATATTACTTTTATCCCTTAGTCATTAGCTATCCTGTTAAATATTAATATGTACTTGTGTGAGCATCATATATATTTTAATGTAGGGTATGGTATATAGCTTTGAAGCCTTGCATGACCTGAGAATAGAATGAGAAACTTTCAAACGATTTTTCTTCTATTCTTTGCATTGTGATACTTGGTGTTATTATTAACTTACCTGAGTCTAGTACTACATTTAATTTATGATTTTTATCTCATTAACTCAGAGTACTACATTTAATTTATACTATTTTATTCATGTTTGCATGACTCATTAACTCAAAGTACTCCTATCTCAGCAAGTTCTTTACTGCCTTTGTCTTCCTATAATAGTCCACCATGTCGTGCTCCAGGATCATGTTGCCTGGAAGATAACCAAAATGAAAAACATGGCATAGTTATGATGCATGAGTAATTTGTGGAACACCCCTAGCAGATTAGTTGCACAACTTAAATTGTAAGTGAAGTCACTGTGTGCAGGCATTCTATC